CGTGTCCCTTCACGCAACGTAATGCACTCCCGGATACATCCACAACGGCTTCCCTTGTTTTTTTTCCTTCTTTTTATTTCTGTTTGATCTTCCAATACTCAAATGACGAGAACAAAGGACCCACCCCCTCCAATACCTAACAGCCCTCTCACGTCCGACAGACTTAAAGTTCGACCCCCCGCCCCTCGCACGCATGAACCACCAGCACCCCTTCCTATACACACGCACTCCAATGTTCAATACGTGCATTATTTTCCTCGTCAACAAGTGTATGCGTGGAGCGTTTATTGGCGAAAGAACGTGTTGCTCGTCGCCCCCACTTATATGCATATATATATATATATATATATATATGGCTTATTCCTCCATTCATTTCGGGGCACACCCTCAGTGAAGCAAATAATGAAACCACAAGCTAGCAACATAAAAGTAAATAGATGAGGACTTGTATACACCAGCCATGTGGCAGCGCAAAAACAAAAAAAAATGAAAAGCAAAGAAAACGGCACACCAGCCAGACAAGAAAAAAAGATAAATGAAAAGAGAACTGAGAAGAGAGTGTGTTTGGGAGAAAAGAAATCGTGGGAAGGAATGGAGAGAACGCGGGAGTCAAAGAACACTCGCATTTCATCCTCCACTGTGTGTGTGTATGTATGTATGTATGTGTGTATGTATGTATGCTTTTCAGCCTCACTCATTGTTTACCATCACCATATTTTATCGTTCTCACTCTCTATCGTGGTATTCCACTCTCTCACACACACGCTTTCCGTGCGCAAAGCTTTTTTTTCCCCCTCTGCCGCTCGGCCCTTCCCACCACCACCACAACCGCTAACATCACTTCGTCTATACGCGCCTCACAGCGGCAGAAGGACAAAAAAAAAAAAAGAACGCAAGTACATGACACACAACAGCCACGCGTCACAATAACACACGGCCCCTCCCTCCTTTCTGTTTTCTGCTTACTTTTTTTTATTTTCTTTTAAAAGAAAAAAATACAAGGAAAAAAAAGCTCATTGTTCTCTTTAAATATACCCCCACCCCCACCCCCCACCCCTTATCACTTCCCTGCTGTAGCTCCAGCTCTCGTACGCTACACAAAGTACTCAACTCTCCACAAGCCGCTCCTCACTACACCTTCAGTTTAACCCAGCACTTACGGGGCAGGCGTGCGAGGTTCAGCTTTTTTGTCTTGTTTTGTTTTAAGACTATACACCGCAGCACTCAACTCAAACATTTGTCTCGATTTTGCTTGCAATACTTTATTCAAATGAACTCGGCCCTCCTTTTTTTTTCTTATTTTTCTCTCTTGTTTGTGTTTCTGTTCATGATGCTTTTGTTGTTTCTGCCTCTGATCTCCCAATGAAGATCCGGGAATGGTGTGGGATCTAGTTCATCTGCTTCTGCTGCCGCAGCTACTGCGGCCACTGTCGCTTTCAATGGAGGGTTTCTCTGCGCCGCGCCCCAAGCTGCGCACCCACTCTTTGAAGAAGTTGGCAATGTGATCAATCCGCCCCTGTGCAGCACTAGTGGTGCGTTCCACGACAAGATGCCTCAACACATCCAATTGCGCGATGCGTGCCTCCCACGTCATATTCATATTTGTAAGGGCCTGTTCATCGTCCCGCAACACATGGAAGCGGCGTCTACCGTCACTGAGGACGCCGCTGTAATTCTGCTCAATGCGGGCACGAAGGCAGATAAGGTAACAACAGTTGCAAATACGACACCATGGGGCAGTGCGCACCTTGAGCCCACCACGTCCACACCCCGATCCCTGAGCAGCATGAGAAGCCACGACTTTAGAACGCTGGGAGGCAGTTTTGTCGTCATCGTCCCCTTCTGGATTCCAGTTCGTGCCATATGTGAGATCGTACGTGTCAAACATCCATTCATATTCATTCCTGGGAATACTAGCTCGTTCACCATCAGCCGTGTTCTGACTCGCTTCGTTTTCATTAACGAAAAGCAGATCTTCTTCCTCCAGCCTACCCCCCACTTCAGATTGAGGCGCGTACATGTCACGCCCCACCTGTGAACAACAGTCATTACATAAAAGAATACCGCAACGACGACAGTGATGCCTTCGCACCGTGATGGAAAAAAGTTTGCCACAACGGGTACAATGACTCGCAGACTCATTGCTCTGCCAGTAGTGTTTACCGGTTTTTAGACGATTGTATTGAAGAGTCTCTATCTGCAAAAGGATGCGCTGCTCTGCTAGCATCAGTGCGGTCTCAGCCTCATGAAATTTGATGCGTTTGGAAGCGTCATTGTCGTCAAAAACAAATTCCACCATCCCCCCACTACCTGTTTGCATCAACCTAAAAGAGTAGCGCGCAGACACTATTTCCTCATCACGATCCCTCCGTACCTTGCCGCCTCCGCTGTCCTCACTAGTTGCTGGGCAGGTTGCTTCACCACTATCCTCATCTCCAACAGCAACGGCACCATCATCCTTCGCAGTAGCGGTAACATCAGTAGATTTTATTTTTTTGGCACGTTTTCCCCTCGACCACCTCTTTCCTGCTTTGGAAGCAGATTCGAGTCGTCGATCGACAGTTGAAGACACCAGTAAGCTGTTCTCACTTCGCAAGCTGGAACAGTTTATACCTACTTCAGCAGAATCCACACCCCTAGCGCTCCTTTTTATCTGAGACTTTTTGCCACTTAAGAGAGACACCATTTCGTCTTCATAACCGCCAGACAAGCGTCCTACAAGAGGCTCTTTTCCTGCGTCAACCTCTCTCTCTTGTACCCCCTCCTCAACATCGGACGATGCTGTGGGAATTTCTTTGTGTATGGATTCCACATTATAGGTAACATTGGAAGCTGCATCTGAGAATTGTGTCCTAGACGTAACCACGTCATCGTCTGTCGATGCGGAATTCTGACTTTGGCTCTCTTCCTCTCTCAACGTTGGGGGCGGACTAAAAGGTACCGCAGTTTGAACTTGCGCTTCCAGCATCCAAGCCTCATAGAGTTTTCGTCGCCGTTTTTCCTCTTCCATCCGTACTACAGTGAGTTTTCTCCTTACATTTTCAAGCTCAGTCTCCAACTCGATGACGCTAACGTCAACCGTCCCACTACTTGTGAGCTTACAGCCACGCTCCCCGTAGCATAAAACCACAAATGGAGAGGCGGGCCGCAGTGCATCGTCCTTGTCATTTCCATCCTCACTGGGCCTGACGTGGTTCTGCGTCGCCGCCTCGAACTCTTCTTCCAGACTCTCTTCGCCCATAATGAGCGTTGTCTCCCTAGTGGAAGAGACCGCAGTGGCCACCGTATCCGTATACGCGTGGGCATTTGTAACCCCGGTTTCACGCTTCACATGAACTTCGCCCTCCCCATCGTTCTCGAAAACAATGGAGCAGCATGGTGTGACGCATCCTGTGCAGGTTATTGAATCAAACCCCAAGTGGTCCACAAGTGCCGTTTCTTCCACCAGGTGAGAAACAGACTTACCCTGCTTCAACAAGTCCGCGGACGACGAGTCACTCTGACCATGATAGGACAAAGGCATATATGGAGGTATATACTGAATAAAAAATAAAAAAAACTGTTGCCAGGCAGTATGTTATCCACCTACTTTTTCACCCAACACCGCTCGACTAGCAATATTGACTACTCTGCCTCCAGTCCGCCGCACAAAGCAATATACGTGTATCTGTATATATATAGACGGACAGGCACAGAGAGAATCACTTGCACACTTTTGAAAGTGTCGTCGCCGCTCTTCTATCCCTGATTTCTCCGTTTCCCTAGGTCTCCTCCCTTCGTATTTCTTTCCCGAGGTATTCACTGCTCAAGGGGCGAGCTGCGGGCCAGCCCCGCTTCAGCGTCTTGCACGATCTCAATGCAGGCAACAACGATCACTGCTCGCCTGTGAAATTAGTTACTCACCAACACCGTGTGTGTTGAGTTGTTTCCCGCACCCCCCTCGCACCAAAGCACAGCAAAGAAAGAGAGAGAGAAGGCCACCAGCACTGGTGTGTGTGTGTGTGTGTGTGTGTGTGTGTGTGTGTGTGTGTGTGTGTGTGTGTGTGTGTGTGT